GGGGGGGGGGCTATTGCGCGATATTGCATCAAATGTGCTGGTTTCGCGACGCCAATAAGGTCTACGAAAAGGCTAAGAGCTTGGAGGTAAATCTGTTTGCTAACGACGTCACGACCCCCACTTCACTACCTGCGACCTCGAGTACGAGGAGACAAAATCGAGGGGACTTGCTGAATGGGCGGCTTGGGAAGAATTGGCATCACTCGCGGGATATTTCTCAGAAACGTGGCTCGCACCCCGCTTCTCACAGTCACAGCCCGTCCGGTACGGCTACCAACATCAACCCGGTGGAACAGTGTTGAAGATCAGGTCTGCGCCGTGGCAGTTTAAGCGGCATTGTAGTTCGACACAGATCATGTTATGAGAGGCGGTACGGGACAAGGAGACAATGCAGGATACGCAGGCAGCAATCTGGGACTAGTAGATGCTCTCGCCCAAGCCGCTGAAGGGAAATCTATTCATTCTTAAATATCAGTCGTTGTGAGCAAGTCATCTTGGCAGTGAGTGCATAGCCTAATAAACAGTACAACGCCGTCCTCAAACGTGACGTCACTGTCCACTGCAAGCTCTATATGGGGGTGTTACTGGGTCGTCTGGTGGACTGGTGCCGCCTTGAGAGCGCTCGTGCGGTGCCATTTGCAATGGCAACCGTGGCTGACTTTCGGCTTCAGCGCCGATCCCGTGAAATGGAGCGTCAGGGTCTTCAGTCTGAGCTCGTCGTGAGTCGACACAGTGTTGCGTTTATGATAGGAGAAACGCCAATAGAGGCGATGTCGCCTGACGTCGTGTATGGCCGTTATGTCGCTGCAAACCGGTCCTACAACGAAGACCTGCACCGCTGGAACGAGGACCTTCCTGTCTCGGAACAGCTCGGGCTTAACACTGCACGCATGGAGATGATGGACATGCCATCGACAGGCTGGAAGGTGGACGTCCGCTTGATGGCATGCCCGTGTCGCTTCTTCAAGAAGTTCGCCTGCTGTACGCATATCTTGTTCGCCCAGAGCACACGCGGTCACATCGACCTGTTTGGCCGCGAGCGGCTGGTGCGTTGCGCCACCAAGAAGCCAGGACGACTGCTGCTCGTCAAGGCCTAGGATGCCCGACATCAAACGGACACGCACTTTCTGTAAACTAGACACACTACAGTCGGTCCCATGTTAGTACTAATAATGTAGATCACTTCCAGATACATTGCCTACCATCGATAATGTAACGCTGCTCTATGGCAATGGATCAGCTTGCCACCGAGCAGCATAGCCTTTTGGAAGGCATTTGTATATGTGGGCCCCCTTATGCTGCATGCACCTGCTCCGTAGAATCTTCGAGCTACTCAGCATCAAGCTGCACTCTCACATATGAGAAAGCGTTAAGTAGTTTTACTTATATTAAATATACTTTAAATTTACTTAAATAAGTAAGACAATGCCAATTACGGTAAAATGATTGTTAGACGGAATTCACAGGACATCGCAGGACTTTAGGAATGGACTGATGACAGCCAATCAGAGATCAAGTAGAACTACAATATTCGTGAAAAGCGGCAATATTCGTGAAAATTAGTTCTGTCACGCCCGCTGAGTCGAGACAACGTTTGAGTGCAGCATCTAGTCCATCAAACGTCACGGTGCCAGCGCCGATGGCACGCTTCTCCAGCTCGCCTATTATGTCCTTTACAGTGGCCATCCGTGTGGCATCGACGTGCTCCATTGTCTTCAGAATGGCATCAAACAGTGCCTTCATCTTGCCTAAAATGGCTACATGTGGAGGCACTCCCGTCGCTAGGAGGCGATTACCAGTACATGATACTTTAGACGGTAAATCTGAAATGAGACTGGGGTGCTGGAATAATGCAGTCTCGAATAACGGGTGATTCGGATCGAAATGAGCTCGTAAAAGTGGTGAGTGATAAACCAGCGAAGCTAAGCAAAACTCGCCAACGTAGGTAAGATGGGTAGGAAGCCCAGGATATACGCACTCAATCGCAGCTTCAACGTCAGCTTCGCGATCACCAAAATGTGGTGGCAGTACTGCACAATCATGGCTGTCTAGCGGGAGTCCAGACACTGTTCGTCCGACATGCATGTCCCCGGCTGCCTCATATCGGAGATAAGTGTATTGCACTCCACCCAATGACCACCCTGCTCAAAGGTGAACAGACATCGAAGATGGACACGCAGTCGATCCAGATGCACAATACGTTGCTGCTCCTTTACGCATCGAATGTGTACCCAACTCGTCTTTATCAACACCACGTCGGCGAAGCTCATCGGCTACATCACCACATATCAAGAGCCGCCGCTAACACTTACGAAAGCGCTCATACTGGTTGCTACCAGGGAAAAGGCGGTCGTCGCCGCCGAAAGATGTTGTTGCCCAAAACACGGCTAGAGCAAGAACTAGGCATAACTCTGGTCTTAGTGGGTTTGCGTAAATGTGCCGAGGGTCACGAGGCCTGCTTCCGTCCTGGTCATTTTTTTTGGTGTGCGAAATACACGCACGAGGCGTCTCCACTCCTCTCGATATGGGCGTGACGAATACCAAATGCGTTCGCCGACCTGCAAATAAGATTCCATGTAAAAATCATGTATGTCCGCGCAAAAATCATGTCTTTGGCTGGGTACTGAAGTAGCCGCTCGCACTCGTACCGGTATAAATCGAACGATAGAGGGTCCTTACCAGTCTTTACGCGTGCTTCCCCACGTGCTGTAGCACTAGTCATCTCTTTTGACCCCTTTGAAGTACTGACGCATCTCATTCCCCATCCTTGGTGACATTTCACGCCCGTAGTCGCGATATAAGTTAAATAGACCTGCTCTATGAGTGTTAAGTGGCGAGAAACTTTGGCTGCTGACGTCCGCCTTATCTGAAGTGGTGGTGGG